TGCAGCAGCGAACCGGCTGAATCGGTCTTGAGCTGGGCATGGTGTGAGCTTAAAGCAAGCTGGCCTATAGATCCTTCCTGATATAGAGTTCAAGCATCGAATGCTGCAGCACGCAGAGCCGGGCGGAAGCCTAAGTACAGGGAAGGCAATGTGTGCACAACGTGAATTTGCATTGGATGCCTTACGTCTCGTGCCAGTTGGAAAACGTTTCCAATGGTGGTGCAGCCGCATCTCAGACAAGTCCAAGCGCTCGCCGCCATGAGCGCCTTCCAGTGCTGCATCTTGACCTTCGCCGAGTCCCAGGTCGAAGTGCCCGAGCGCCCGAAGTCCTTCCGCTTCTTCAAGCTCGGCGAGAAGACCACGCAGCAGCTCAACTACATGATGGAGGCTTACGACCGTCAGTTTGATGAGGCGCGTGACGAAGGCGCGGGAGCGCAGCCGGAAGCTGAGGCAGAGCAGGCGGAGCCGGAGGAGGAGGAGGAAGTGCCGGAAGGTGTCCGACGCTTCTACCGCCACAGCAAGGTGCGAGTGAGCTTTACCTACGCCCAGAACTACCAGTACGTGCTGAAGAAGACCACGGAAGTGGGCGGTCGCAGGGTGTTCATCTTGAAGTCCGTCTCCGGACAGATGACACACCTGTGGGTGGAAGTCGTGAGCAGCCGAGTCGTCCAGCTTTGCCTTCGGCCCACCCTGCAAGGGGTCCACGTGCAGGCTTTGAGCCTGGCCGGGCGACAGCTGGCGGAAGCCAGGCTTCCACCAAACTCGACGCTGAAGAGCGCCACTGCTGCTTTGCAGGAAAGCATGGACTTGTCGAGTGCGGAAGCCTCCCTCGTAAAGTTTGTGCTTGGCTCACAGGCTGCGGCGATGGACCGGCCTTTGCGCAGCTTGAGCACAGTCATCAACGACTTGCGGAGGAATCGTTGATGACTTTATGCAGGGGGGGTTTTGCTGTCAGGAATGACATGCGTGGACTATAAGTAATATATGTATTAAATATAGTACAAGATTGTTTTGACAAGGTGCGTGCAAACTGTCCATGCACAATCCTGGCAGCAGGCATGCCGGAAGGCCCGAAGAGGCTATCTGGCAGCAGGCATGCTGGAAAGCCCTGAAAGGGCGGCATGCCTATATTTGCTCAGTCGCGAATTAGTTTGGGCAGCAGGAATGCCCAGAAGAGGCAATACTGCACAGGACGACAGAGAGATCTGAAAAAAGAACGGCCTCCAACTGTTTCTGCAAAGTTTCGTCTGCATGCAAGGGCTGCTTCAGCTATACGTGCAGAGGTTGCCACCGCCGACGCTGCTCACGCGTCTGATGTCAGTTCGGTTGCATGGTGCTGCATCAACCGCTGCCAGTGCAGTGAAATCAAGCTTGCAGATATAGCTTGGAGGTCCGATACCAGATGTTTCAAAAACTAAGCAGAAATGCCATTTGGTTCGTCCAAGAACGCAGTCTTGAGATTCATTTGCATTTTGCACACGATGTACGTCTGTCTGTATACATATAGATATTTAGGAATTCAGCATGTCGAAGCGCAGGCTGCCGGAAGGCGAGGCAACCGAGAGGGTTGCTCGCCAAGCATCCAGACGGGATGCTCCGCCGGCCGCCGTTCGCGACCTCACTGGGGAGCAGGTGGACCCCAGAAGAAGGAGGAAAGTGGAAAAGGCCACCGTGGACTCTCTCTACGACAACGTGGAGATCCCGCTAGCCGAGGCAGCGGCGGGTGGTGCGCGAACGGCTGCCGCGGGAGCGGCTGCCGCGGGAGCGGCTGCTGCGGGAGCGGCTGCTGCGGGAGCAAATGCGGAAGCAGAGCCGCTGAGATATCCCGTCTTGAACGTCTTCAAAGCCTGGGAAGCTTTGGCGCGGGAGTCGCCAGATTTCCAGCGTCTGCTGCAGGCGAAGGCGTCGGGCGGAAGCCTCCGCCTCCGGTTTTCTGTTTATGGTGACGAGGTGACGCCCGGCAACCCGTTGGCGCCGAACAACCAGCAAAGAGCGTACTGCTTTTACTGCAGCGCACTGGACTTCGAGGAGTTCCTCCTGTCCGAACAGTGTTGGCTCGTGCTCACCGTTGTGCCAACTTTCACCATGAAGACCGTCAAGGCAGGACTGTCTGGCTTTGTGCGATGTTTGTACGGCCACCTGCGATATCTGCAGCTGGGTGCCAATATCCAGCTTGGCGGAAGTCAGCTCTTCGTGCATGGTTCTGTGTCGCACTGCTTGTATGATGCTGCGGCTTTGCATGGACTGCTGGGAAGCACGGGACACTCAGGAAACAAGCCTTGCTTCCGCTGCGGCAACATTTACAGTCGCTTCGTGGATTTGCCGCGACACGCTCAACGCCAAGGCCTGCGAACTTTGGATGCCACGGAAGATCAGCTTCGCTGTATGACCAATGAGCACATCTTCGAGGTGGTGGACCATGTCGTGGCGGCCTTCCGAGACCAGCCGTCCCTTTTCCTATATAAGA